AAAAGAAAAGAAAAAAAAGAAAGAAAAAAAAAAAAGAAAGAGAAACAATAAATAAAAGTGTACGTGGTGACAGAAGTAGCCACGTACCGGCATAGGGTGCAGTTTTTGCTGGACTTCCAAAATGTGGGCTTCCCGATCTCTTTCCCACAGCTATCGTTTGAAAACATCCCACAAAGTACGTATTTGTGTGTATGTGTATGTATCAGAAAAAAGAGAGAGAGGGAGAGACAGAGAGAGAGAGAGAGAGAGAGAAAGAGAGAGAGAAAGAGAGAGAGAAAAAGAGAGAGAGAGAGAGAGAGAGATAAAGACAGAAAGAAATATGAAAGATTTAAAACAAATACAAAGACAAACTTAATTGAAATTATATATGACTCGTATGATTGATCTTGGAATTAATCAAATTAATCGATTTAGACGCATGCCGCATTCGTTTGAGATTTAATTAATTAAATATAAGATAAATATCATAGATATGTAAAAAAAAAAAAAGAAAAAAAAAACGTGATGAGTTTTACGGATCAAATATCGTTGATCGATTAAAATTTAATATATCTAAGAATAGACATCCGTAGAGATCGATCTTTAAGGATATATAAACAAAAAATAAAAAAAAATAAAAAAAAAAGAAAAAAAGAATTTCTATGCTTCTAACGTCATCCAATAGATCGATTCCTTTTGATTCAAATCGTAAAAAAAAATATTTCATACAGCATCTCGAAATCCCCGAGCTCGCGTAAATTTAATATAATGACGATGTCCGAAAGATAATAAGCGATAGAATCGAAAAATTCATCGAATACCTTTAGCTTGACGTCTTCGCTTGCAGTCAAAGTCCAATCGCCTTCCTTGAAGTTTCTTCCGATGGTGCTGCAAAATTATGAAAAAAAAAAAAAAAAATAAGTAAATAAATAAATAAATAAATTATATTAAAAAAGAAAAAGCAAAAGTTAAATTATCCTGTTCGGAGCATCAATATCTTTTTATATATAATGTTAATATTAAAACACACCATCACTTCCTTGAGATCCTTGGTCTGCAGATGGTGCAAAGGTTCCAAAAAGTTTTGTTTTATATTGTCGTCCAAGGAATATTTTACGTCGGCCATCTGTTTCATCGCATCACCCATTTCAATAAGGGCCTGAGCTATGAGAACAACATAAAGATGAAGAATATCATTTATATTGATATAATCATTCGAACGTTCGATCTTAATTCAATTACTATTCAATTTAAGAATCTATTGTATTTATATTTAATTAAATATTAATATTATTTAAAATACGCGCCTGTAATATGCAACCCTTAATACTCAGCCGATAATTGTACGTGCGAACGCCATCTATCAATAAGAAACTTTTTTATAACCCTTTGATATGCAACACATGTAATGAACATCTCTATTGCCTATTGTAAGGGGCATAAGTCCCTTAAGATATGCAATTTGTTCGTATACTTTTGTTGCCTTTTATAAGGGGATGACACATGTCCCTTACAGCATGCATATTCTTATACTCCTATAACATATAAATCCTCTTATTGCCTATCAGAAAAAGAATATAAAAAAAAAAGTTTCATACAGCTAGATGGCGCTTGGAAACACAATTATCGACCAAGTATGGTGTGTTGCATATTTTAAAGCGCGATTCGTTCAACAATCTCGAAAATTCGATTTCTCTATTAATAGTTATCCATGCTATAAAAATAAATTTAATTATTATTGGACGATATATTTGAACGTATAAGATTTTATTGGTCACGATAAAAATATTCGATAAAACTCTGACTTTATTTAATCGTATTAAACGTATCTTCGTGACCTACCAAAAATACTATCCTCGCCTAGTTTTTTGCCATATGTGAGCATACAATCGCCAAGAACACCTTCGGGTTGAGGATAGGTCGAGGCCTTTGCTTGGCCACTGAGTTTACTGATGCCCTTGACCGCCGCCATCTTCGCTCTTGCCGTTGGGTTCGGCTGAAGAAATTCTTTCGTTTTCATTTGTAGCTCTTCTACAAGCTCGTTGGTCACGTCTGTTTTCTATATAATTCATGAAAACATTCACGAATTAAATTATTGTCTTATCTATATTCATAGTTTTTTTTTTTTTTTTTTTTTTTTCAATCATTGATACACATTCGAAGAGAGATAAATGCCGATGATATTTGTGAGACTTGAAGAGTCGAGTTCTTTTTTATTTTTTTTTTTTTTTCCTTTTACAAAAGATCAAAAATAAAAAAATATTTGCTTGCTTGCTTGCTTGCTTGCTCGTTTGATACGAACAATGAAAAATATAATGATACATTGAAAACGTTTGAAAAAATTGTATTGCCAATCTCAGGATCTCATCATCACGCTCTTGCGACTACCCATAATGGGCTTTGATTCTGATATGACTTGCGAGAATTAAAGTCTCTTCAAGATACAAAAATATACATCCTTACCCTCTCCATATCAACGAAGTCGACGTCGAGCTTGGTTCCCTCGGCGCCGCCCATCTTCTCCGTCATATACTTGAAAAAGAAAAGGGAAAAGAAAAGTTAGAAAAAAAAAAGGGAAAGAAAAAGGCACTCACACGGGTCAAATAAATCCATTATAGATATTAATCATAATTATACATTATCCTTGTTTAATGTATAATTAATTATAATCAAGGAAGAATCATAACCAATGATTAACTATGTAAACTCATTTCTGATAATCTTGTTAAACCTTTGCATTTTATAGAGGCCATAAAAATTTTTTTCTACAGCAACCCCCCCTACGGATACATCCCCCTACGGATGATATATACATAATATAAAGTATAATTAAACTCTTGTATTCCTATGGGATTAAACATATATATATATATTTTTTTTTTCTTATCACCCCAAAAAGGGGGAGGCAAGCGACTGGGTAGAGGGATTGTAGAGAATATTATAAAATATTTATACAAATTATTGGTCTCGCGAAAGGATTTTGTAAAAACAAAAAAAAAAAAAAAACAAAAAAAAACAAAAAATAAGAAGAGAAAAAAAAGCAACGAAACAAAAAGAGAAAAAAGAATGAAGGAGAAAGAAATTCGAAAGGTCAATTTAATAGTCTCGTAAACAGGGATCATCCACGGTACGCAGCGATTCGATATATTCCTTTTTCCTAAGAGCTTCGGGGGATATATTTCATCGAGGGTGAACGATGAACGAGAGAAATGAAAGAGGTCAAAAGGAGAGGAAAATATATCGGTGACAAGCATAATGGACGAGTCGGATCGATAACTTCTATAGTAAGTAGTCAGTCGGTTGATCTAACGTCATGACGTGTTCTTGAAATTTGCCAACGACGTAAGGGGAAGAGAAGAAAGAGAAAGAAGAAGAGGAAAAAAAAGAAGAAGAGGAAGAGGAAGAGAAATGAAAAAAAAAAGATAAAGGAAAAAGGAAAAGAAAATGAATGAATGAAAAAGTACAACGCGTCTCGTGCCAACGATTATCGGACATACGAGTATGATTCTTTATTTTTTCATTTCTTATCAAAGAATCATATGATACATACATATGTATATATGTATCTAAGTATATATGTATGTATGTATGTACGTATGTATGCATGTATGTATGTATGTACATATGTATGTATGTATATATGAATCTCATGAAAGAAAGTGATTACTAAATAATTATTAAAATAAATAATTTATTTAATATATATATATATAAAATAATATTTGTAAAAAAAAATGTAAAGGAATAAATTATTTATAATATATAATAATAATAATATAATAATATAATATATATATATATATATATATATATATAATTAATATTAGTACTAATACTAATAGATTAAAAAATAAAGAAATAAAAGTGAATAACAATAAAAAGACAACAAACAAATCATTTTTTTGTTCTCATTATAATTAACGTTGTATAATTTATATCGGATAAAAGTCAATGTAGGGATGATAAATAAATAGAAAAGAGAAAATATGTGTAGAGTATGCGTGCGTGCGTGTAAACTCTAAACAAAAATGGATCTGTAATAAAAAGAGAAAAGAAAATGGATATATTGCCGGAAGATTTTACGAGTGGTACAGAACGATGACGACGACGATTACGACGACGACGACAAAGACAACGACAATGACAACGAAGAAGACGACGAGGATAAGAACGAGGATAAGGACGGATTGTTCGCGTAAGCTATCTCTCTCTTTCTCTCGTATGTGTGACCGTGACCTATATCCATCGGTGACCTAGATCCCAAGAGAGAGCGGGAGAAAGAGAGAAAGAGAGAAAGAGACAGAGAGTGAGAGAGAGAGAGAGAAAGAGAGAGAGATAGAGAGAGAGAGAGAAGAGCCCTTCACGTTTACGCTAAAGCGTAGGCAACGTAACCATCGTATAAACGCGACGTAAATTTGACCTATATATCTATTCGTTGCAATGTTATACTTCGATTAAACCACCCTTTATACATGTACATATACATGTGTATATTATATTGGATATTGGAAAGAAACGAGGGAAAAAAAAAAAGTTGTGAGGATATAGATTTAAAGAATGTATTGGGTTAATGATTTTAAATGAATTAATTTGACCTATATATTCGTTCCAACGTCTACTTCGATTTCAATTTCATCATTCTTTATATATATATATATATATATATATATATATATATATATATATATATAAAGAATATATATGTATGTATACATGTGCGTGTAAATATATGTTATATTCTATGTAAGGAGAGGAATGAGAGAAAAAAAATATTGTAAAAAAGGGACTTTGAGATAGTTAGGTCAGTGGTTTTTTAAAGAAAGAGACATAAAAGAGAAAATTTTGAAGAATTTTGAAGAATTATTGATAGAGTTTTAAATATAATTTAGATCGAGAAAATATATATTTATTATATATATTATTTAATAGTAATAATACAAATTAAAACAAAAAACATATATATATATATATATATATATATATCTTCTGTATATATATATATATATCTTCTGTATATATATATATATATATATCTTCTGTATATATATATATATATCTTCTGTATATATATATATATCTTCTGTATATATATATATATAGAAGATAGCAATGAAAGTTTTTTATGTGATTCCAAAGATCAATTAATATCTCACGTGTGGACTCTTTTACGTTCCTAATCAAAAATTATAATTTCTTATCTATCCAATCATATACTTTTTTTACAATATGAATAAAACAAAAAAACAAAAAAAAAAAAAAGAATTAGACTAAAATGTCACGGAAAAGAGCGTTTAATTTTTAAGATCAAACAAGAACTTTTGGCTCGTTCTGTATAAAAAAAAAAAAAAAAAAAAAAGAAAAAAAGAAAGATGAAAGAGAGAGAGAGAGAGAGAGAAAAAAGGGAGGAGAAGGTCGAAGATAATATATACGATAGGTCGAATATACACTTCTTTCTAGTTCCTATCTATAGATTATATAAAATACAATTAGTGAACGGAAAGTGAAGCGTTACGTATGCACCTAACACGGATCGCCTAGCTTCGTTTTTTCTTCTCTATACACATAACTTCGTCCATTGGACTCTATCTACTCTTGGCCGTTCATTCATTAAGGTTCGCCGATGCAATTAAAGGACGAAGGTCGACAGCTTCGATCGCATCTATTCGTTATTCGTATTCTCAAATGTGTGTGCGTGTGTGTGTGTGTGTATGTGTGTGTGTATGTATTGTTAAATATGAATTAAGAAATTTTAAATGATTTAATTTTTATTCTAAAAATTACTTCCTTCTTTTCCTTCCTCTTTTTTCCTTCTTTTTTTTTCTTTTTTTTTTTTTTTTTTTTTTTTTTTAACGAATTAAGAAATTTTGACGGCAAATTTTATATCTAAAATTGTACAGTAGTAGTGTGATAGCACGATCGCCATAACACCTCATTATCGTTTCTACGTTATCATAATTTTTATCGCTTATTAGTGAACATGATCTCGTTTATTGTATCTATCGAATATATAAAATAAAATAAAATAAAATAAAAAAAATTGACATGTAATAAATACAAATTTTGAACGATTATCAAACAATTTTGTCGATCCTATAAACGTTACATTCAATTTCAATATTTAACTTTTTCCAGAGATGAAATTTAATTAAAAAGAATTACATTATCGTGTAAACGAATGTACAATTTAAAAAAAAAAAAAAAAAAAAAAAAGAGAGAAAAAAGAAAAAGATATTAAAAACAAATTTTATTCGACAATTTAAATATTTCACTTCGATCGTTCGCTTCGATGTTCGAGTGAAAAAAAAAAAAAGAAGAATAAAAAAAAAAAAAGAGAAAAGAATGAAAAATCTTTCTATTCTAATCTTTCAATTCGATCGAAACTAATCACATATACGCGTATAATTATCTAAATGTGTTATGACATCATTAGACCATCGTTCTAATTAATTATAAATACAACGGAACGAAACTTTAATAATTTAATTTAACCCGTAATAACTGATACGTTTTATGGTATCCCGAAGAAATGTTTCGAAGGTAGATAATAATAAAAAAAAAAAAAAAGAAAAAAAAAGAAAGAAAAAAAAAGAGAGAGAAAGAGAGAAAGAAAAAAAGAAAAACAAATCGATCACTTTTTTTAAGGGTGTATATTCGATAATAGCAATATTAGAGACAGTGCCGTATTAATATTTTTCGAGGCCCTAAACGCAAAATCATTACTAAATCTCTAAAATACAACTTCGTTTCAATTAATCAAATTATTATTATTATTATTATTATTATTATTATTATTATTATTATTATTATTATTATTCGTTTTTCTTTTGTTGTTGTTAAATTTATTGAGAAATAAAAACTTTTAAAATGTGTCGCTGTTCATCGTCGTACCCTCATCATCCTTAAACACCAACTCCCTTCCACCATAAAGAATGAGACCAAAGTTTGAGCTTAATGTGCTAAATGCGGTCCTGATTAAAGATACACGATTTAACGAAATTGTTTCGAAAGAGAAAAGTTCACAAAATGTTTATAGTATCTAATAAATTTTCAAGATATTACACCATTAATGGTCAAAACGAGAGAATAGTATATATCGTACGAGACAGCTTGGTTACGCGACCGATTAAAATTTCAACGATGCTCGCGCCTCGGTATCGACCAAAGTTTCTCGAAACGAGGACCAACGAGCAGAATGATGGCTCCTTTTAATTGTTATGAGAATGAACGATACATCCATTCATAGATACATACGTACATATATACATATATATATATATATATATGAGTCGTTGATTACGAAAGGTGTGATTTGTCGAAAATTAAAAAAAAAAAAAAAAAAAAAAAAAAAGAAAAAACAAAAGGGAAAATTAATTTATTGCGTAATTCAACACGGCAATGACATAATTATACGAATTACGTAAAATAATTAATGATTAATTAATTTTTTCTATCTTTTTCTTTTCTTTTCTTTTTTTTTTGTTTTTTTATTATTATTATTTTTTCCTACCAAACTTTCATATAATAATTTTTTTCTTTTTTTTTTTTTTTTTTTTTTTTTTTTTTTTTTTTTTTTTTTTAATCGATTTAAATAATTTTTAACACGTCGTTAAGAATAATTTAACCTTAGATAATATAATTGACAAATTAAAGAATAAGAAGAAAGTAAAATGAGGGAAATATTTAAGATTACCTGATTAGCTTTGTTGATTTGTTTCTTCAATCCAGCGAACGCCATGATGTCGGCTCGATCGCTTCTCTGTCTTATTTAAAAATGAAGAAATTACTCTGTAATCAGAGATAAGAATAAAAAAAAATTATACGATATATTGCCAATGTTTTAGGATTAATTATTAATAAAATTGGCGATTGATTAGAAAAATAATGAAGGAAAAAAAATTAGACAGAGAGAGAGAGAGAGAGAGAGAGAGAGAGAGAGAGAGAGAGAGAGGAAGAGATGAAAATTGATTTTTAAAATCAATTACTCTTTTACAAAAGTTTTAATTAACCTTGAAGATAGGCTTAGTAGCTTTAAAATTTGAAAAGAAGAAAAAAAGAAAGATAAGGCTAAAATGTCTTGGAAAGGGGAATGAAAAACAAAAAGAATTGTTTTTAAAAAAGTCATCTAAAAACTTTTGACAAAATCTATTACATTATCGATGTTTTAAAATTAAATCTTTTTTTTGTTTCTCCTTTTTCTTTTTTTAAATGTGAATATTAATAATCAACCATTAATTAAAAAAATAATGGTACAAAAAAAGAAGAGAGGAAGAGAGAGAGAGAGAAAGAGAAAGAGAAAGAGAAAGAGAGAAAAAGAGAAAAAGAGAAAGAGAAAGAAAAGAGGGAGAGAAAGAGAGAGAAAGATATGAAATATCGAATGGCTGGCTAGAAGCCAGGAAATTTTTTTTTTTTTTTTTTTTTTTTTTTTTTGAGAGATGATTTTCATTGTTATCGATCGACCACAATTTTACGTATGTATTCGATTTGTGATATAATCCATTATATTTCTTTCCAATAATAAAATAAAAATAAATAAAGAATATATACAAATATTCTTTTAGATAATATATTTATATAATATGTTAAATATATAATATATATTGAATATTATATATATATATAATATATATAATATATATATATGCAGTTAAGTAGATGAAATTAAAAAGAAACATCTACATCTTTGTATTTTAATCTCGATACCTCGACAACTCCGGTTCCCTAATAGACTCTAATGAGAGTAAGTGTTCTCTTAATGAGAAGAAACGTTTTACATCGAGTCTAGCGTATGTCACTATCTCTATTTATCTATTTACTCTATTTATCGATCTATCTCTTTTCCTCTTAAAACAAAGTTTTAATGATAATGATAGTATCAAAATTACTTAGTCAATATATATATATATATATTCAGAGTCAATTTCATAATATAATATATTCCGTTTCTATCTATCTATTTATTTATCTATCTATCTATCTATTTATTTATTTACTGCCTTCTCTCATAGTAAAAAGATAAATTTCTAAAAATAATGATAATAATGAAATTATTCTGTGAGTATATATTCACAATCACTTTCATATATACCATACATTTATGTTTCCAACATATATTATATAAACTATGTATATATATATATATATAAATTTCTTATAAGACAAATATATTTTAATTCATAATAAATAAAAAATATTATCTAAAATGTCAGTACTTATGTCGTAAAATTTTATGCATCACAGATATTCAAAAGAAAGAAAAAGAAAAGAAAGAAAGAGAGAAAGAGAGAGAGAGAGAGAGAGAGAGAGAGAGAGAGAGAGACAGAAAGTATTACGAAATCAAGGTAATAGATCGTAGTAAATTAGATCGCGACTAAATACGACACATAATAAGAAACGAATCTGTTAGAATTGAATGACACGAAAGATAATGAAAATAAGACGAGTAAATTTCTCACCTCGAATTATCGTTGGGATTTAAATAATAATTCAAAGAACCCTCGGTTCTCTATATTGACTCCTTCTCGTTTAATCTCTCTTACTGCGAACGAACGAACGAACGAACGAACGAACGAACGAACGAACGAACGAACGAACGGACGAACAAACGAGAACGAGCGAGAAAAAGATAGAAAGAGAGAGAGAGAGAGAGAGAGAGAGAGAGAGAGAGAGAGAGAAAGAAAGAGAAAGATAAAGATAAAGAGAGAGAGAGAGAGAGATAAAGAGAGAAAGAAAAGAAAAAAGAATAGAGTATATAACACAAGTCCGTGAGAAGCGACTAGAGGAGATTCTCCGCGTGGGCTGACAACATCAGCAACATCACCACTACTACTACTACTACTTCTTCTTCTTCGTCTTCTTCTTCTTCTTCTTCTTCTTCTTCTACTATCGAGGTACCATCGATGAAAACGGCAAGAGGCAGAAGCAGAAGAAGCAGCTGAAGCACCACCACCACCACTACCAACTACCCACTACTATCCACTACCCACTACCACCACCAGCAGCACTACTACCACCACCACAACTACCACCACCACCATCAAAAACCGCCAGGCACCAATAGCAGCACCAGCAATGGCACCACCAGCTAGCACCTAACCCTCTCTCTCTCTATCTCTCTCTCTCTCTCCCTCACTCTCTCTCTCCCTCTCTCTTACTCGCTCTCTAAATGTATCTATATCTATATCTATCTCTATCTCTCGCTCGCTCGTTCTCGTTCTCGTTCTCGTTCTCGTTCTCACTCGCTCCCTCTTCTTCTTCTTCTAAGGGTAGTTTTCTACTCGACGATCGATACGTGGCTACGGCTCGATTCTCCCTTCCACTTCTCTCTATAAACCAACCCCTTCGCGAGTTCTAACGGGCGTTCGTAAAATACAGCGTCGACGCGAACCCGCAGAACGAAAAGTCAACCCCTATCTCTTTATCTTTTTCTCTCTTTTTCTCACTCATAGACACTACGTACGACAAAACGATAAGAGAAACAATGAAAAAGATATCGAGAATTAATAAGCTTTGAACAATGTTCTCACTTTACAATCGAGATAAATAATTGTCACAATTTTTAATATCGATAGAAATCTACGTGTGTTACGTATATTTGAATTACGAAACAAAAAGATCGTCGAATGAATGTATATTGATATATAGTTATATATATATAAATAAAAATTTATAAAGGCATAAAGCAATGGAGAGATAGACAGATAGACAGACAGACAAAGAGAGAGAGGGAGAGAGGGAGAGAGAGAGAGAGAGAGAAAGAGAGAGAGAGAGAGAGAGAGAGAGAGAAAGAGAGAGAGAGGGAGAGAGAGGGAGAGAGAGAGAGAGAGAGAAAGAGAGAGAGAGAGAGAGAGAGAGAGAGAAAGAGAGAGAGAGGGAGAGAGAGGGAGAGAGAGTGAGAGAGAATATAAGGTTTTTGCTTTGGATAATCGAAACGAGATTCAAGATGAGTAATTAAACAAAATCTTTTCTATAGTAATCGTCAAATAAATAAATAAATAAATAAATAAATAAATATATATATATTTATATAAAAAAAATATATATATAAAGTGAACAAAGGGAAGAGAATATCTTCGTGTTGAGATGATCGATATGCGAATTATATGCCGAATGGCATCGTTCTTGATAAGAATAGAGAAAAGAATAACTCTTCCCTTGAAAATCTTTCTTTCTTTCTTATTTTCTTTCTTTCTTTCTTTTTTTCTTTTTTTCTTTTTTTCTTTGGTTCCTTTTTTTCTTCAAAAGAAATGATTCGACTTAATAAATAGTCTATGATTAATTAATTAAATCTTGATTACCATAAAAGAGAGAGATAGAGAAAGAGAGAGAGAGAGAGAGAGAGAGAGAGAGAGAGAGAGAGAGAGAGAGAGAGAGAGAGAGAGAGAGAGAGAGAGAGAGAGAGAGAGAGAGAGAGGGATTGATTATCAAGAGAATCTACATTAAAAAGGAAAAACATCGTTTGTTACAATAAATGAATGTACGTATGTATGTATAACATTTATATATATAAATAAATTGAAATCAAATGATAGTATGCCTTTCATAATTGTATTACATGATTGAATTTTTCTTTTTTTTTTTTTCTTTTTTTTAAGAATATATAATATATTGAAAATTAGATATAAATGAATAATGTTATATCAGGCAATAATACAATTTGCACGTATTGATGAACGTATTAAAAGTATATATTGTAATCAAATGATTTCAATATATCGTAAATTTTTCTTTCTCTTTTTTTTTCTCAAATATTCTATATATATATATTTAATATATTGTATATATATATTGTATATGTATATATATTTAAATATATATTGTACATATATATATATATATATATATATATATATACAATATATATTTAAAGTTAAGTGAAATAAATACTGTATACATATATACATACATACATATATGTATATATATTTAAAGTTAAATGAAACAAATACTGTATATATATATATATATATATATATATATATATATATATATATATTAGGTGGACCGGAAAGTAATGTCGTTTCTGCGCATGTCAATATTTGATTGTGATTAAAAATAAAAACTTGTTAAAAATTTATTCGTTTGAATGTAATTTAAAAAAGCGACATTACTTTCCGGTCCACCTAATATATACATACATACATATATATATATATATATATATATATATATATATATATATATATATATATATATAGCAATTGTAAAGAAATCGAGAATGGACGTTTCAAAAGTTCATATGAATTTTATTGGCAGTCTGTGAATATTGTGAGAGTCAACGGGTCACGACCCCGGTATATCTGACGTTTGACACAATACAGTTTAATATACTGGAATATATCCTTGAGAATAAAAGAGAGAAATAGAGAAAGAGAGAGAGAGAGAGAGAGAGAGAAAGAGAAGGTGTGTTTCAAAGAGAGCGTTCTAAACAAGGAGTTTCTTAGAACGCCCACGCCTTAAAAAATCCTTCTCATTTTTTTTCCTCTTTCTCTCTCTCTCTCATTCTCCCATTTTACTTTATCTATTTGTCTTAAAAAAGAAAAAACCAAAGAGAGCGAATACGTAAAAGCGACCTAGTGTCGTTCACAAAGAAGAAAAAAAAAAGAAAAAGAAATTGCCAGAAAAATATGTAAAGAGATCATATACTTTTTCTCTCTCTCTCTCTCTCTGTCTCTCTCTCTCTCTCTCTCTCTCTTTCTTTCTCTCTTTCTCTCTCTATCACTTTCAGTCGAAACATTTTGATTTAAGAAAAAAAAAAAGAAGTTCATACGTTCGCCAACTCACCCACGTTTCGACGTTTAAACGAAGATAGAAATTATCGTCCGATAAAATTTGTCGTCCTAAACGCCCCCAAATCCAAACTAACATATCCGTTCTCTTTCTCCGAGTACACCCTCCCATCCTCTTTTCCCTTATCCCCAGCATCCTTCTTAAATAATAATCATCTTTCGAAAAATCTTTTCGATTGTTTCTATTTGCTTCATTTATTTTGTTCTTTCCTTTTTTTCATCTTTGAAATAACATCGATCAAAAAAATAATAATTTTTCAAATATTACGTTTATGTTATATCATATTTTTTTTTATAAATATAACATAATGTAAACATATTATTTTATATTATATTTCTAAAAAAAAAAAAAAAATAAACAAAAAGAAGACTACAATATTCCGTATTACAAATATATCGAATGATAAATTGGTAAATTTTAATTAAAAAAAGCCTTCTCTAATAATAATAATAATAATAATAATAATAATAATAATAACAATAATAATAATAATAATAAATATTTTTAAAAATCTTTTACAATCATTTTCTATTTTTTTTTGCTTACGAAAATATATATATATATATATATATATATATATATATCGATGAACAATGTTTCATTGTGATTAGAAATTCTTCTAAAATAATAGATAAAGTATTCGTAAAAGATCTTGAAATATTATGTTTTACAAATATATCAATCTTTAAAACTAACCAATTACTTCTACCAATTAGAAAACTTCCTCAAAATGATAATGTTTCTAAGAATCATTTTCAATTGTCTACATTTGTTTATTTTGTTATCTTCTTTTTTTTTTTCTTCTTGTTTTACCTTTTTGTTTTTTTCTTCTTTTACAAATCGATCATATTATAAAATCGATTGATAATTCGCAAATTTTATTAAACTAAAATGAAGTCGAATGAAACTTTGATCGAATCATCATGATATACCGAGATAAGCATTCTAAATCAAAACGATTATTGATATAGATAACTTTATCGAGATAACTTACAAAAACATAATCATTTGAAATTTTCTGATATACATAGTTAAACACACAGACACACACACGCGCGCGCGTAAAAAGATAGAATTTTAAGAATTTAATTAAATCCCATATTTCCATTTCAAAAACGTACGATGCATACGAGAATATGAAAATCGTCCGGTTTCTAAATTGCATATCGTAGTGCATGCCTTTACGATGAATATCTAATTATTTGTCATTCGGGCGTTATTAATCACTATAGAGAATGGGATACGTGCTTGCGTGAATCATTAATGCTTATAAAACCTCAACGGGTGGTTATAACGAAGAAGAATTTTTTATTATTCCAAATAGGGGGAGAAAGAAAAAAGAAAAAAAAGAAGAAAAAAAAAAGAGAAAAGAAAAGTAAAGAAGAAAGGAAAAAAGAAAATTTTTTTTCTCTAAGAAATCAATGTGAATGAAAAAAAAAAAAAAAATTCTAATTGCTTCTACGTAAAAATAAAATTATATAAAGGTACATATACAGAAACACACATACATACATACATACATACATATATATATATATATATCTTACTCTCTTTTAGACTTACTATAGGACCATTGGACCGGCATATTCTCTTTAAAGAAGAAACGCTTAAATCGATTTCCCTCGTGAGAGACAAATATCGTTCACATAGTTTCGATTATAAAATAATTCGAAAACGAAACGACTGTGCGAATGAACGAATATGATCGTTATAATATATAGTGACGATTAGGATGATTCTGACGAGAGAGAGAGAGAGAGAGATGGTGAGAGAGAGATAAAGAGAGAGAAAGAGAGAGAGAGAGAGAGAGAAAGAGAAAGAGAGAGAGAGAAATAAAATGAGTAAAAATTTTAAAATCCCGAAGCAACGGTGCGGTACGAGTCGACCAATCAAATGCCGATGCGGTGCGTAGTCGATGACAAAACATGGCGTCCCAGCGAGGACATTTGTTTTCAATTTGACGACAAATTCTACGACAAATACGAACCATTGAAACGTCGTTCATTCATTAGCAACAATCGTGATTAAATTATATGAAAATGAAAAGGATAAAGAAAAAATGTTGTAATTAATTTTGATAATGTCGTCGTAAATCGGATGAAGAAAGAAAAAAAAAAGAATCTTTTTCATGTAACTACTATCACTCACATGTAATCCTTTTTCTCTCTCTCTCTCTCTATCTATCTCTCATTCTCTCTCGTATGTCCCGTTTCTTTCTTATTTCCTTCGTTATATGTATATTCAATCTTCGAATTATCGAACTTTACGATTCTTGGCACACCAATTGAACATAACTTATTTACTTCACTCACCGTAAATCGATTTACAAGCGACAGCAATTGGAGCAGGGCTAACCCCCTGCCGAGGATTTGACACAGACAACTACAGCTGTTCATCGTACATGAGTTATCCGTTAAGAGCGCTGTAAGCGCCCGATCACGTGATCCTTTATCAAACTATACGCGGCAAATTTCAAATTCTATTAATTGCGAATTATACAATATTATACTATATATATATATATATATATATATATCTGTGTGTGTGTGCGTATATATATATATATATATCTTTTCATTGAAATTAATTAAAAACGTTTTAACGTTACTCTAAGTAATATTTTCATTAAAAATAAATACGTTATTATTCTTTTTTTTATTTGTTATGTATGGAATATTTATACGTAGAACATAAATATTTATATCAAATATACGTGGTAAACGTATGTAATATTTGATATTTTTGGACAGTGTTAATATTTTTTCCAGTGGCGACATAGGTCCTTTTATTATCAACATTATTAATACAGTGAAACAGGTAGTATCATACAGTAAAATAGTGCCGTTTTACAGTAGAGCATCGTAAAGCTTTTTTTTTACATGTTTTCATGTATATGTAGCATTTGAGAGAATAATCTTTTATTTTCGTCGACCACATTTTTATTTCTATTTCCTATTTTCTTTTTTGTTGTTTTATTTTGTTTTTCGTTCATAGTGCTATATCCTGCATTCCAAGGCATAAATTAAGTTCCTCGTTGACATCAGGATTAAGGCTATTTAACAGATGATCGAATTGATCATTCCCTACCGTTCTTCGTAATTTAATAAACTAAAATATATATACACATATATATAAATTGTTATTATTATTATTATTATTATTATTATTATTATTATTATTATATTATGATTATACTCAAAATATATCATGTAGTTTCATTTTTTATCAATTTAAATAAATCATAATCCTTACTTGATTATGGAGTGTATTGTTTAAGGATAGATTATGAACTGGATCGCTCAAAGCAAGTTTCTTTCTTCTTTGTCCATGTAGAGTGTCATAATCTACATCATCATATTGAGACGGACTAGGCGGATCGCTTATCATCAAAGAACTAACAAGACGATAATGATTAATAGAAAAAAAAAAAGAAAAAAAAGAAAGGAAAAGATCATTACATCGATAGGATATTATTATCCTATTAATAAAAAATGATTCTTACTCTATAGGACATCCCGCATCGTCGTATTTCGTTATATCGTTAAGAGTTTCGACTATATTAGATATAATAGATGGAAAGTGTTGAAGGACGCTTGGTGGACTGTTAGCTTCAAGAAGTGAACAAAGTGCAAGAGCTAATAATTTGCGTCTTTCTGGTTGAGTAACGAGAGGCATTCGGCTGACCCAAATGTGTACTATTTGTCCTAGTACAGCTTCCTCATTCGTTTCATCACCCCCTATGTTTCTTGATAATTCACCGATTACCTATAATTATTTCTTTTACGTGATTCATACACACACACACACACACACACATACATACACAGAGAGATAAACAAACACACATACACAGGACATACATGGAAAAGTATACATTTAAAAATATAAAATAATAAAAGAAAATGATATATCACCTGCGCAAAAATATTTTTACAACAAAGTAAAACTCTTGCGACGATAGACAAGCACATAGTCATAACCATTGGATATTCTTCACCTTTATAAACGCTTCTATAAAAATAAATTTTTATTCGAGATATTAGATTTAAATTGTTATAAAAATTGTACAATAATTTAATTTAATAGATTTAAACTTACTCGAATATTTTCATTAAAAGAGGTCTGATCAATTCTGCACCTTGCTCGGGAGAAACTCGAAGACATGTTTCAAATAATCTCATTGCCACGACAATACCTTCACAACGTAAATCTCCTAAAAGTGATCTCAATGTTTCGATTATTACAGTTCCCCTTTGACATAGAAATTCTTGAGGACTCAATAATACATATGCTTGAAGTATGTACAAACATAATCTCAAATTGTCTGTTGATGATTCTGTAAAATAAAATAATATAAGTATATATGACGGAATACATATAATTACAAGCATAATTATTTTCTCAACCTAATAAAGGAGGCATATTTCGGAAAAGATCCATTATTTCTGGTGTTGGTTCTGACGCATTCTCCAAAAGAGCTAACCATAATTCTAAACCATCTTCTAACAAATAAACATGTCCTTCTTGTGTTACGTCACAGCTTAAATCTACGACACGTACTACCAATGGTTGCAAGATACTACTGTCCGAACCTATCGACTATAAAAAAACATTTGTTTAATTAAATACGTTTTAACGTGAAGAAAATATATAGGGTGATCTTTTTTTCTTTTTCTTCTTTTATAATAGAAAACTTTTAATTTTAATTACCTTTTCCAAATGAACCAGGGTCGTTACTATAGCACACCTTAACATATGATGATTTTCAGATTGTTGCCATAGCGTTGATAAATATGAAGTCAGAGCACCGACGTATGGTTTTATATCATATCCCACACGCTCAATCATACATGATAATACAAATAGAACGTGCATCTATCGTGAAATGAAATATTTACTTTTAAAAGAGAGAAAAAATATTTCATAGTAAAGATATAAAATATCATCATACTTTGGTATCAGATTCGGTAACTTCTTTTAGCAAAGTGAATAACAAGGAAAATGTAGATTCCAAATAAGGTGTAAATTCTGCTGTATGAAATTGAAAGTCATCTATTGCAAGTTTTAAGGCATCAATAGCTGCCAAACGAACGCCCAAATCTTCTTCCGGGCTCAAAGCTTCTATCATAAGTTGGTAAAATTCTGGTCTCAACTTAGTACTTAATTTTACACCTGTTCAACAATGATATCTTATGAACATATATATATATTCTTTTTTTTACAATGTGTATAATTGTACTTTTTAAGCATCATCATTCCCTATATTATCAGTTATTTATATAATCTTTCATATCGATTACTTACCTGCCCATCGACCGATAAGCCAACATACACGTCTTCTAATAATTCTATAATTATTACTTTTAACTTTTAATTCTTCCTTTAATGTCGTTGAAAACCATTGATCAAAATTTACCTAACATTAAGATAACAAATATACATTTGCTTAATAAAATAGATACTTCTATTATTGTTCATTATTATTCGTACACAATAAATATAAATATTGATATACTCTCTGTTATATTTACTTCGTCATATAAGTCAAAAGCTGCCAGGCCAACTGCATTATAGACAGCATCTTTCAGTAAAATTGCATGTAGATCACTGGGTTCAACAGGTTGATGATGTTTTTGTATCAAGTCAACCAGTACTGATGCAAGAACATCTTTAAATTGATGGAAAATAGCCAAGAATACAAGTTGAGTACAAGCCTGAAATTATATTATAATTATAAGTATAAAAAGACAAATCATATCATATCAGAATTTATTGTATTTTACTTACTCTTAAATTATACTTCCATGGTTCACCTCCATCATCCACAGCTATAAAAATTAATTTTATTTATAATATTACTATTTATAATGAGAACATTTAAATATTAAATATACACGTATATTCATTTTTACCTAAGTTTTCAGGATCAGTATCCCACAATTCCAAGTCTGCAGGTGTTAGAAGGAAGTAATGAGTGACAAGTCTCGAACAAATTTCGGTTAAAGTTTGATGCGTAAAAAATTCCTGCCTTAATTGATAGGCTCTCACTGTCAATGGATCTTTAGATTCTGTTTTATAATAAAAAAAAAAATTAATAAATAATAATAAGAAATAAAATAATGAAATATTTTATCTGAAAAAGGAACAAACGAGAGTGTATATACCTCCAATTCCTTTGGCCGGTCTATACCAAACTGATAATAAAATACTTTTCATTAAATTTAAACATTGTATGATAAATCTTTCAAAGGCTAATGCTTGACCAGCTTCCGTGAAACAATAAAAAACTGAGAATTCTAAAGATGTTGGTATCAATTCGACATAACAAAGTGGATGCATTTCTAATACTTCTAATAACACTTTGGTCAAATGAATTATGAATTTATCACAAACCTCCATTTGTATACCTTTCGAAACTAATGTTTTACCTAAAACAATAAAATATTTTGTAGAATTATAAAGTATAATAAAAATGATATGCCATATAAATTATATTGTACTAATAATATTAATATATAGTAACAATACTAACGCCATTCAAGACATGTATGAGCTCGTTCAAATATTACTTCTAAAAATCGCATGACATTTTCAGATAGAGATGGCTTATGAAATCCATAGACGATAAGTTTACGAAGTATTTTTAATAACAATAATGCTTTCTCTAAGGGTTCTTGTATCTGATTTGCATCTACTCCATTCGATGCCATTATAAGAAATGATTCAGTGTATGTATTCCATGTATTAAGAATAAAAGTGACCACATTGTGGGTTAAGTTTTCAAAGAGTCTTACATCTCCTGATAAACGTTTTGAAGCTAAAGCTTTGACAACATGATGCATTGTAAGAAGCGCTCGATGCTGTGCTATAGAATTTTGACCTCTTATTACTTCCAAAAGTGTTGGAATTAATACGTCCCATTCTCTGGGACAATCATATCTATAAGATAAGATAGAATTAAGTTAATAATTATGATCTCTATATCATCTATTATAATATTATTGGATATTTTAATTCTATGAAACATTTTACCTTGCTATCTTAGCAATGAGAACTGCTAATTGAAGTGCTAATTGATTTACAGGTTCTTCAAAATTACTTATTAAACGTTGACGTAGAAATTCTTTCTCATCTTCTTCTATTCCACTAATTTAAAAAAGAAAATAATTGGGATGCTCAATAAAAAAAATAAATTTATATGCTTATGACCGCAATATATAATATAAATATATAAGATTATATATATATATATATATATATATATATATATATATATATTATGATTATAACTTTATAAATAAACAATAATCCTTACTTCGGTGCATTTTTTCTCCAATATTTATCGACGCCATTTTTAAAGTACAAAACAGCCATCCATCTAATATTAACAGCCAAGGAATGATTTGAAAATACATTCTGGAATAATAAACGAAAGATTAAGTTTGTCAATCAATGTAATCCTTGTAAAAATTACTTTCATGAAACGTGCTCACGAATTCATTACGTTCATGATTAAATAAATAAATAAATGAATGAATAAATAAATAAATAAAAAAGAAAGAAAAAGAAAAAGAAAAGAAAAGAAAAAGAAAAACATGATTATATTTATATAATCATTCCTCCAACGAATAACTTACATATAGAGCAGTGTAAAATCCTCTCTGAGTTTCCCATTCCTTTAAAGTTTGCTCTGCTGGTTTTAAAACATTAGGATCTTGACTACCTGCCTGCTGGAGAACTTCTATCACTGCAGCATCCATTTTTTCCCACTAAATATCATAAACATTCAGAGACACATAAAATTGTTCGTAGGGCATTACGAAAACGTTTACACACTCTTATTATATGTCTGAGAGTTAGTCAAATCGTTGAAAAGATATTTTTTTTCTCTCTCTCTCTCTTTCCTTTTCTTTTCAAAAGCAGTGCCTTCGAAAACAATCAATGGACATGTGATAATAACAATTCTCTATCGTTTATTACAATAGTAATAACATAAGCATTTTATTGATAATAGATGAACGTAGTCACTAATTCTTTTGAATATTTTATGATAACGAAATAAATCTTTAGAAATGACGTTACATCATTTTCGTCGTGCGAAGGTTTCGATGTCGTTACGATGTCTCTATAACCTATATACGAGTAGATGCACGCATCTCACAACGATCTATATTTTTCACGGATTAGATTGAATTACATTCCGTAGTTTCCATTTATCCGAAATACTCGTATACCGAGTCGATGTATTTAATGGACATAACGTAATATAATTCCAAAGTAACTTTTTCTAATATCGAAATGTCACACGCCCGCAAATCGGCATTTCTATGTGCTGCCACTCTCTATCCCTATATTATTTTTTTTTCTTTTTCTTTTTTTTTTCTCTCTTCACCCACGGTGTACCCACCGTGACAGTTTTTTACCGGCAATAACAAATATTTTAACAAGGTCACTCGAATATTACGATCTATGTAAATACGATATACATATAACGTTTGCCAAATACGCTTGTCGGTCTATCCAAATATATAACGATGACTTTTTCTTACAAGTATCGAGTATCTATATGCACATTAATCCTCTTCGCATGATCTTACCCACCAAATATCGTTCCTTCTACATTTCTGTTTACTTAACGATCATATTCTCTTTAATATAGATTCTCAATAAAACTATTATCAATTCAATAAAAAATAATCAATTACGATACCATAGATATTATGATATAATATGAATGATCATTAATACTATATAATTTTCGATTAGATATTACAATATTTATAAATAAATATTTTAATAAATATTTTTACAACGTCATACGTGTAAGGATAATATTTCGTTCCTTTCGAATATTTAACAAATAAAATCAGATTATAATATTATTTTTATATTTAAGTAAATGTCTTTACTTTCACAATGAAATATAACAAAAAAAAAATAAAATTGTTGACTTAGTTATTAATAATTTATCGAGGGAGTATGTTTACTAGAAGCTTCTGTCGAAATTGTAGCGATTCGATATTTGAAAGGATATCCGGTTAGCGCACTCTAACGGATGCATTTTTACTTAACGTTCTTTCTCGTTCATGGCTCGTATTAATATTTAGATCTTTTCACGATGAAGGTACGAATCCAATAATATTTTCGAAATCCTTCTTTCCTCGAACAATTTGATTACTTTTAAAAATCTTACAAAGGCTCGCGCATATTTCTTTCATATTAATAATTCTAATAAGGTGTGTTTTTATATTTGATACAGGTTATTCAAATCATCGACGATCATATGTTGCAGCCGCTATTCGTGATTGTTTATTAGTGTTTAAAAAAAAGTGATTATATATTTCTATGTCACGTATAACAATATATTATTCGTTTAAAAGTGAATGAATTTTCCTTGTAATTATTTTTCTTATTAAAATCATTAATGAATTAACGTGTTGAAAATACGATCTAACCTCTATGTTTATAATAAAATTTTATTTGAATCTTTCTTAAAGTAATAACAAATTAACGATTATTCATTTACAGTTGAACGTATCATTTCCGGCAACAGGATGCCAAAAATTATTCGAGATTTCGGACGAGCACAAGCTCCGAATGTTTTACGAAAAACGAATGGGAGCAGAGGTAGAAGCCGATTCTCTTGGCGATGAATGGAAGGGATATGTAGTACGTATTGCTGGTGGTAATGACAAACAAGGCTTCCCTATGAAACAGGGTATTTTAACTAATGGCAAGTATTTTTTAAAATTTCATTTAATATTCTATATATAACTTCCTTTGTTATAAGGATAATGTATAATAACAATGCTTTTAATAGGTCGCGTACGATTATTACTATCGAAGGGACACTCTTGCTATAGACCCAGACGCGATGGTGAAAGGAAACGTAAATCTGTACGTGGTTGTATCGTCGATGCGAATCTGTCGGTACTTGCTCTGGTAATTGCGAAAAAGGGAGAACAGGTAAAGATAAACTTGGAAATGTTATATATTTCCATATTGTAAGGATATAAATAAGAACGATAAATAGTCTTGAATTTACTAATCGTAGGTATGATAGATGAAATATTTATTTTAATTTGAGAAATTGTTTCATTAGATTGGCTCACCTTTCTCAGTGTATTAACGAAACAATTAAAAATTCATAGAAATTATTTCCATTATTAGATAATTACCGATATGTTATATTTGTAAATTGTGTGTCAATGTATATTTTCATTAAGGAAATTCCTGGACTTACCGATACGCAAGTTCCACGTCGTTTGGGACCAAAAAGAGCTAGTAAAATTCGTAAGCTCTTTAATCTTTCTAAAGAAGACGACGTACGTCAATTCGTCGTTAAAAGACCTGTTCAGAAAGAAGGCAAAAAGGAACGTCTAAAGGCACCTAAAATACAACGTCTTATTACTCCATTAACGTTACAGGTATAGTAGAAGAAAAACAATTGTCGACATTTTTATTGATATTATTAAAATCGTTTAAATGTGATAACAATCTATTTTTTGTCTCTATGTACTTATAGAGAAGAAGACATAGACGTGCATTGAAAAAGAGGCGTTGTTTGGCACGTAAGGAACAGGCTGCCGATTATGCCAAGTTACTGGCCCAAAGGCAAAAGGAAGCAAAGAATAGACGTCAAGAGGAAATAAAACGAAGGCGTAGTGCTTCCATGCGTGATTCGAAATCGTCGAATCAGTCTACACCAACGGCAGCAACACAGAAATGAAAGGAGAATTAAAATATCTTGAAGAAATAATAAAAAATAATAAAAAATACTCCACATTCTTTCATATTTTCTTTTACCCATCAATGAATAATTAACTATAGATATATACATATACATATACATATACATATATATATAAAATAGAATATTAGAAGTAAAAATAGGGAGCCATTAGAAACTAAGCTTTATATTAGGTTGGAAACTATGAAACGGGCGTTGAATGAAAATAAAAAAACAACAAAAATGACCGTTTCATAGTTTCCAACCTAATATATATATATATGCGTATATGTAGAGTATAAAGTAGAAGTATAATTCTTTTTTTTTTTTCTACCGGAAATCAAAGATCGTCAAACGTTTTGTGAATTTACCATAAACACGATCATACGTGAAACAAATGAATCAACAAACTCCAAGTTCACATTCATTAATTGTAACTTTTAACGAGGTTACTTCGTGATTCGGGCTAAATTTTAATCATATAAAGCATTGAATTTGTTCTAATCCTACAAGTAATAATTTCATCGTAAAGTTTGTGCGTGTCAGTGTGTTTTATATATATATATATTTTTTTTTTTTTTTTTTTTTTACAAAATAGATCTTTGTTAATTACGTTTTATTTTCGATCTAATATATGAGGAAAAAGAAAAAACGATATATTGTTCTGTGACTTTTTTTTTCTTCTTTTTTCTTTTTTATCATTCGTTTATTTCACGTGCAAGAGAATGAAAAACAATCGATCTCGGAACAAGGAAACTTGTCGAATAAAATTATGGTTTAATATTGACACCATCGAGAAAAGAAAATCTTTACGTCGAGCCACACTTATCGTTTCGTTCTTTAAAATTTGACAACGACAAAGGTAAAGAAATATTATGTCGATGTAAATATTGTTCGTAAATAATCGATCGATTTGATGAAAAAAAATTTCTGTCACAATGAAACATAAAAAATCCTTTGGTTTGGTTAAACATTCAAATGATATTGATTCATCGAAATATTGGGTATCTGGTGAAGAATTCTTTCGAACGCCATCAAAGAAATACAAGGACGAGTCAGATGATCGTCGTAAAAACTCGAATATTCTTCAATGGCGTCATTGTATAGATTCGAATAATACGAAACTATTAGACGATGATTTTCTTTTACCAACTCGAAAGAAAAGTGACGATATCGAATCGTATATATTGAAAGACATAAAAAAAAATTCAAATAAAGGTGATACCAATTTTCTCGATCTATTCGAATTACCATTTTATCGACCTGAATCAGAAAATACTGACTATAATACGAAAAGTAAGACAGAGATATCGTCGAAAGATTTAATTAAAGAAGAAAAAGAAAAAGAAGATGATGATGAAGATGATTTGAATGAAATATTCAATTGGATAAATGATTTCGAAAGAACGAGAAAAAAGCTTTATTCCAATGGTAATATTTCAAAGGATTTCGACGATAAAACAAAAGAAAATTCTTTGAAAAATTCATTACGTTCCAATTTCTCATTTGTTACGAAGGATTTCAACGAAACGAACCGAACAAATCCGAATAAGGACGTTTCGAAATCGAACGAAACCGAAGATAGCCGATGTTATATCTCCGAATCTTTGAAAGAACACAAGGACGTAGTATTATCGAATATTAGAAAAACAAATTCCCAAGATCAATCGAATCGTTGGATCATAGAAAATATTTCTGATAGAGTTACGCCAAAGGATATATCATCGAAATTGAGAAATTCAAATCGGCTCGTTTCAAATACCGCCAATGTATACAATCATATTTATTTATCGTCAAAATATTCAAAAAAATTTCTTGACATAACGAAGTTAATTAAATTAATGCGAAAATTTGCACGTGTTAGTCGTATTAGACGAAGAATATTCAAACGAACAACTAACAATAGATCGACGAATCGTTTGTCCATTGTTCGTATGAGAAATCATTCGTTATTTTTCAATGATTCTGATGATTTGAAGAAAAACGTTTGTGACACTTTGGCGGGAATTAAAGAGGAATTGTCGGACAATTTACGACGGGTTAAAAAGCTACGTGAAAAATTACCAAATTTTAATGTCATTCGTTCTATTTCTACGCCGGAAGTCGATGAAACTTTGAACGAAATTATAACGAGGTATTTATTTATTTGTTTACTTCTATTTAATCTCCTTTTTTTTTATTATTATTATTATTATTTTTTTTTTTTTATTTTATTTTTAGAATCATAATAATAATATCCCTTTCTTTTATCTACGTTATACAGATGTAAAAATTATATTCGTGATAATAATTATTGTGAAGAGGCCATAACAAAAATGAATGATTTATTAACGAAAAGTGTTAACGATCTTCAAAAAATTGTGAAGGAGGAAAAGCTCGTTCTCTCTAAGAAAACTTTAAGAAAGCCCATAGAAGGTTTTTATAATAATCATTATATTAACTCATATTAATTGTTTTACACTAGTCTATATTATTCTTTTGTTAATTATTTTATTGCTTAATATCAAGTTTAATATTTTCATTTGAAACTATCAGAGAAAAGAAATTAATTAATTCTTTTATTTTTTGTTTTTATTTTTTATTTTCATCCTTTTCTTTCTTTACAGAACAATATTATAAACATTTAGAATCTATTCAGGGAAGGCAAGATTTTCCAAAAAATGACGTAAGAGTCCCCAAATAATAAATTCCATTCAGAAAAAGCATATATGTATTTATATACATATATGTATATACATATATATATATATATTTTTTTTTTTTTATAGATTAAGCAAATATTAAATGGCAGGAAGAAAATGATTGATAGAAAAAATAAAGTGAAGGGGTTAATAAATGATATGTTACGTTTAACCAATGATATTTCTACTGTAGAAGGTGATAAAGAAAATATTAAAAAGCCTGTCAATCGTAAAACAAATGTTTCAGATAATATGAAAACTAGACAATCAAACAATAGGTTGGTTTATTGAAATATATATTAAATATACATATAGAGTGGATTTATAAAAGTTTCTAAGCAATTTTAAAAGTCAATTATTCTTTTTCAAGACTATTCAGATATGCAATTAGGCTAGTAATATTATAAATTAGTTTCTTACTTTGATAGTCTGAAAAAAAAAGAAAAAAAAAAAGTTAGTCTGAAAAATCTCAAAGAAGAGTTATTTATTTTTAATATCAATTGGAAACTTTTGCTTCATCCTGTATATTTATATAGATTATTCTCTTCTACGAATTATAAATAATTATTTTCTATGATTAAATATAATAAAAACGATACAATGATTTCAGATTGGAAATGAAAATGAATCGTGGTGAAAAGATTAAATCGAGTACGATTAAGAATGTAGATCAAATGGCAAGTGAAATGAATTTTATTTCTAAAAAATTTCAAACTGCTTCTTCATCTTCAAGTTCATCATTTTCGAATGTTAGAAAAAACAAACTGGTTAGCTTTAAGAAAGATAAAACATTGAAAGAGAATCAAAATCGTTCAGAAAGGCCGATTGTTTGTTATCAACAATTAAAAAGTTTAGAAAAGACAAAAGAATCGGCACGTACGATTTCAAATATTTCTTTCAATAATAACAAAGAAAAGGTTAAGAATAATGTTTGGACACGTTTGGAAACTGTTCAACCAATTCAAGATAAGAAAAGTAATGAAGTGTGCGAAAAAAAAACAAGAATGTCATCGTCGATCTACGTTATCGACAAGCATCATGATCGATCGAAGAAATCTAATGATATCCGTTTAAAGCGGCAAATCAACGTTCAACCAGTTTGGAAACCAGGCGGCACCGTTAAATCCTTTGCTTCTAATCCAACGTTTCGAAATAATGAACCGATTAATCGTCGTACGTGGCAGCAACGTTTTGAAAAAGACAATCAAGAAATAAAAAAGTAATTTTTTTTTTTTATTTATTTTTTTTTCTTTTTTTTTTTTTTTTTTAAGAAAAAAATTCTCTTACATATTATATTTTATATATGTATTAATTAATATTTATTAGATCGATCAAAATGTGTCTCAGTTTTTATGTAGTAACGAAATTATCGTAAAAGAAAAAAAGAAAAAAAAAATACCATATAATATAATATAATAAAATTTATTTTCATTTTTTCAGATCAATCGTTAATCCATCAGAGCCAACAATCTCGAACAGAAATAATCTCTTTAAGGAGTATCGAAGGAATGACAATTTTGGCGAAAAATGTGTAACTGATTTGTGCGAATTACTCGCGTAAGTAACATTATTATTATTATTATTATTATTATTTAATTAACATCATTAATTAACATATAGGAATATTGTACAATTAATACAACTTACAATTATGTATATTACTGTATCATATAAATATTTTTTTTTAAAGCGTGTCCATGTTATTATTGATTGACATTTTTCTTTTTAGAGAAATAAGAATAACGCAGAAGGAATTAAAAGACAATAGTAATATATTATCCGAAACGCATTCCTCTCCGTATAATCAATCACAAATACCATTATCGAATACATCCTTGACAAAGGTCCGAGTTAATAGTGACGAATTATATTCGAAGAAAGAGAAATCTGAATCTAAATCACGTCCAGGTATACCTAAATTAAATCCATTGAAAGTCGCGTTTAAAGATAAACATGATGATAAGTTATCAGTTACGCATAATTCTTCTAATACAAATATTTCTACGGAAATTTTCACGAAAGATTATGAGAAAAGGGAGGAAAATGAGAAAATTTCATGTTCTAATGAAAAAAATGATAATAGAAATTTGTCATCGATGATTTTATTAGAAGTTCCTGATAAATGCCCTATAATTCCATCCACTGAATATAAAAATCATGAAATTGACGAAGAGACAATGAATGAAAATATTAAAGAAAAATCGTTTAACGAAAAATTACATTCATCTAATGAAAAAATTATTAAGACAGATGATACTTCAGAAAAGTCTATATTAAAAAGTAATATCAATTTGGATCATGATACATTATCAATCGAGAATCAACCAAGTTTAATATCTTTTAAAAATATAAACTGTAATCCTGAATTAAATTCAATATCTACTTTAATAACTATGGTAACATCATCAAAATGTTGTCAATTATCGTGTCCGTCTTCGTTATCGTCAAAAACCAATTTTATTTTCGAACAGTCTATCGGAAAAAAGAAAACTAACGAAATCGACAAGGATTCTTTAGAAAATTCGACCGATGATAATGACGAGGAAAATGAATTTAAATTTAATGAATTAAATGATCGAATTAAAAAAGATTCTGATTTAATTGAAGATAAGAAGAAACAACATCAAACGTCTTTGAATTTATTATCGAATATTTTATGTTCTTCAAAATCTTATGCTTTAACAAATAAATTTGAGGAAGATCAAAGTAAATTAGAATATTCAAATATTAGAAATGATATTTCGAGGGATTCTTTGAACAATGTTTCTATTGATTCGAAATCAGACGATGATAATGATCAAGAGATAAAATCAATAAAAAATGTTCGATCCAAAGATAATGACGAAACGATCGTATGCATAATCGACGAAAAGAAATGTAAAAGTTCACAAACTATAACGGATAAGAAATCATTTTGCGATGCTTATACTAACGTCGAGGATACAAAATCTAATTGTATTAAATATGTCGATAGAATAGTTCCTTCTTCCAATGATATTGATTTGAAAATATCATTGAAGGATGTTGCTACGGAAATTCTTTCGCGAGATCAATCGACATTATTATTAACAGAAATGAACGAATGTTCGTCTACGGAGAAAAATTGTGCTACTGATTTAATTATAAATTCTTCGAACGATTGCAACGAAATTAAGACCATTATTAACGTTGAGTCAAAATCGGTATACACGTGCGAGGAAAAAGATTTGGATCATAATGATCGATGGGTCATGGAAACCGTAGATTTATATTGTGAACAACCTAATGACAATCTACCAATATCAATAGAAAAATGTAAAGTAGAAAATAATGATTCTAATGATCCTAATGATCGATGGGTCGCGGAAACCGTAGATTTATATTGCGAACAACCTAATTACGAAAATGACTTTAAAGAGGATAAAAATGAATTAAATAAATCATCTGAATCGAAAATAAATAATAATGTCGCTATTGAAAGATCTATGTTATCGGTATCATTGATTGATGAATTGAAAGGTATCAAAGAGCAATTGGAAAACGTTGATATAAAATTGAATAAATTACAGGAAACTACAAATGATGCTAATGATGCATTTTCTCGTATTAACATAACTAATATACCATTTGATTCTAATATCAAGGAAATAATATCTGTTTCATCGAATGATTTATCAGAATTGTCCACTATAAAAAATGTTATGATCGATGATCAATCATCTTCTTCGACGATAGAGTCATCTTTATCTTCTAATTCTTTCAAACGATCATCGAGTATTTCGCAAGAACGTCCTTTCGAACGTTTTAATATAAATTTCAATGAAATCAATGATGTAACAGATGTTTTTCAAATGACATCTTGTTATTCGAAAAATGTATGCGACGCCATTAAAATCTATAAAGATAAAATGATCGTTAATAATCAATCGGACGAATGTAAAAAAAGTTCATCGAAAAAGTCATTCGAGGAATCTATAGGATATTTTGAAAAAGATCCTAAAGAATTTGACGAACAATTAACTTGTGAATATTTTAATAAAAATTGTTCTCGTTCTTACGACAATAATAATTTTAATGACGATGACAAGGAAATGATTAGTATTAAAAGTAAATCATCTTCTGTCGAACATATTTTTTATGAATTAAGAACAACTGATTATTCATCATCCGCCGATGAATCTGACAATGCTGAAAGTTTCGTGTGTCTTTCGATTAAAAATTCTAATGATATGCAAAAGAGAGAAACGAAAACAATATCAAACTCCATTGGGAAAGTATCGTCAAGTGTTTTGAGTATAAAAGATCAACGTTTAGAGATAATGAAATGTTTAGATAAAGAAACTAATTTTACATATTGTAACGAACAAACAGAATCGAATGATTTTCATGATTTAATTATTTCTAGAGAAGGCTTGCTTCTTCTTATATATTTTACTATATGTTCCATTGTATTTTTTTGTTTCAACTTTTCTATCACCTGTGAATCATGGTTTATTTCCTAAACGTTTATTTAGTTAATAAATAATTAATTTTATTTTTGTTCTTACAGAGGTCTCGTTATATTTTTATTTGTTAGATTTCTTTCTAACGTATTATCTTTCACGTTTTGTTTGTAATAAAGGTTTAAAAATTTAAAGATATTTTTTTATAATATTAATATAGTTTATATATATATATATATATGTGTGTGTGTGTATATGTATATGCATATGTATATGTATTGAAAAATTTTTTAAACTAAGAAAAAAGATAATATTAACGAAGATTATATATGTTGCACTTATGTATTAGTTTAAATATACGATTATTACATTCTGCTAATAATTATGAAATTTCATTTTAATTTGTGATCTCGTTAAAAATGTTATATTTAAAAAAAAAAAAAACTAAATTGGTAAAAATATGTAGAAGTATAATTATTATGGCTACTTTTTTTTCTTCAGTTTATCTTCCTTATTTACAAAAAGAAAGAAAAAAAAGAAGAGGAAAATATGATATATATATATATATATTTTTTTTTTTTTTTTGATATATCAGATATTCAATCCTCATCCAAAACCTCGATCGTAGCCGATCCGGTGATATCGACCAATTCTTTCGAGGTAAACGTGGCTACGATCTTTTGTTCACCAGCTTTTTTTAGATCCAAATTATGTTGCACAGTAATTTCTTCCAATGGTCCAACATCCCTGAAAGGTAAAATCTTGTTTCTGACCAATCCAGGACCAGCGTAATTAAATTTGCAATTAGTTAATATCTTTTTCAAAGGATTCTTAAAGCTAAGCGTTATGGTCGACGATTTTCCAACGACTGGTTCACCTTCGATCTGTAAATATTTGATGTTTTAGAAACAAGATCTTTTCGTGGGAATACTTATTTTTGTTCTTTTTGATGTTCTGACATTTCCATTAATAAATTATCAAAATCGAACCTTAACAGTGATATTAGGTTTGAGAACTTGAAAATCATCCTCATCCGCCCAAGTTTGTTTCGTCTCTTTAACCGTAGCAATCGTGTAAAGTTTCATTATACAATACTCTACCAATTTATCCAGATAATCGTCTACGGTGACTGTTAATCTTAGTTGTTCGCCTGTGAAGAAATAGAGATGGAGAGAAAAAAAAAAGAGGGAAGAAAAAAGAAAAATAAAATTATCATACACGTGAAGAAATAGAAATGTGCTTTTAAATGCTTCCTAGTAAAATAAAAAAAGGAAAAAAAAAATCATGTAACAATTTACATAAATCGTTATGTAATATAGCATTATTTGTTTGATGATTCATTAAAATATGATAATTATTCGATATAAGTTTGTCATTAAATAGTTGAAAAGGAATGTGAACGTGAGTGAGAGAGAAAGACAGAGAGAGAGAGAGAGAGAGAGAGAGGGAGAGGGAGAGAGTGAAAAAAATTATACATCGTTATAACGAAGTTGATTATTATTCTAATCTTACTGGCATTAGGTTGAAGAACAAAATCACCAGAGGCTCTCTTCACCAAGTTTGCCTTGACTCCGGTATAATAAACACTGCCTGCGGATAATATAGCCTGAATCGTTCTTGGTTTATTCGATTTATTCTTTATATTTACGGTAACTGCAAATGATTCTCCTATATTAACACGTTCGAGATCAACTAGATCAAATTGAACGTCTTCCTTGCTTGGTTCTGGCAAGGAATAAAATTTTTTTGCTCTGTCTGTACTACGTATTGCTCTGTACAAGGTCAATCTTTCTGCCTCCGTGCCTGTTTTTTTTTTTTTTTTTTTTTTTTTTTTTAATAACAAATTGCGAGAAAATAATAATAAGATTAAAACACAGAAGATAAACAAACAGACAGATAAATAAATAAATAAATAAATTTTTTTCTGACCTTCTTTAGCTTTGTAAATGGACGTTATATCCTCTCTATCCTTGTCACCGTTTGGATCAAAGATCCATGGTGCTTTTGTTAAGATCATTCGACCGATACTAAAAAAGAAATTATTATTATATATATATGTGATATAATAATTTATAAAAAAGAGAGAGAGAGAGAGAATGTTTCAACTAACTGATATTTGTTACAATCGATTTTAGAGTATCCTAAATCGCTTTCTGGATCTTCCTTCCATCTCATAAGATCGGCGTTAACTGAAGCCAACATAAAAGTAACGTCAAAGTTATAACCAACGGCACCTTGTCTTATAGCTTCGACGGATGCAGGTCCACATTGATAAAAACTATCTGATTGTTCTTGCGGTGTAGCGTCTATCGCTTGCCAACCACCGTAACCCTTAGGTAAATCAGGCCTGGCCATCCAAACGTCGTTCCAAACGTGATAATTCCAAATTGAATCTTCGCCCATCATATTATTAGGATCATATTCGAGTTCCTCGTTATCAGCATTGTAATAACGATCGACCGATAATGAGGCATTTGCATCGTGGGCCGATACAAGATTTGATACAACTCTGGATGGTATTCCAAGTGCTCGACAGACGGTTGTTACGACACCAGCGAATACCCAACATTGTCCGTATTTTACTTCGTCTTTTGTTTCTAAAAATTGTTCTAATATCGGGACGCTTCCGGTCCAGGCTGCTGGTGCTGTACCATCTTCGTATTCACCGTCCCATCGACCAGTTATAACACCTTGATCATCGTTCGAATTTACCTGCATAATGACAAAATTATCATATTGTATATGTACATATATCTATATATATATTTTTTCTTCTTTTTTTCTTTTTTGTTTTTTAACTTACGATTCTTGATATCGCACGACACATTTTAATGGGATCTCCTCTGGACACAGCCTTGATACCCGATCTTTCCAATAATAATTGACAAGCTGGTAAAATGCATGCGTCGAATTGACCAAAGACCCATTCCCTACCTCGAGAACTTCCCCATGGGCCAACCCATATCTTTCCAACGTCATTCATAATGTATTCGTCGAGAAGTTGCTCATCCTCCATGAAGACCAGATCATCTGTGAGAATTTTATTTTTTTTTTTTTATTTTTTTTTTTAAATCCTTTTTCATCAAACGCAGATATTTAGATATTTTTTCTGTCTTTCCTATCTTTTTTTTTTTTCCTAAAAAAAATCTGTTATCAGATTTATGAATGATATACCTTTTAGCCAAGGATTGAACAACAAGTATATGTCTTTTTCATAGTGATACGTATTCGGAGGTTTTTTTCTTCCAAGAGTCGTTGTCTCCACGTTCAACTGCCATACACCAATTGGACTATTAATTGGACTTCTAACTTCAACCGATAAATCCATTCCATTGATCGCTACCATTCTTACACCCCATGCTTCTAAATCGGTTACATAAGTGTCTTGATTGGTTATAGTGTTGATGCCTCTGGTACCCTTCATTACATTTGGATTTGGACCAAAACTGAACAACAGTCTGACGATATCAGTTTCATCGACGTATTCACGATTGAATCTCAATGCCAAATTGAAAACTTGACCTCGTCGTAATATCGATGTCGGATTTTCCGTATGAATCATTTCGTAATTTATAGTATGATGTGCTCTGGCATTTTCTTTCTCGTACATGTAGACCATATCAACGAACAATGGTTCCTTGTTAGACATCTAATGTTCGGTTAAACACATTTTTATGATTAATTTTTTTAACAAATTTTGTCGTTTTTATAATTAATTTTTTAATTATATTATGCGCAAATGTATGTCAACAATTTGTTTAAAGTTCCATACGACATACAGAGCTTTCTCAATTTTTTACATTCTATTCAAACTTAGAATGAACGTTTTTTAAATCTAATATCCATTAATAATATTTATTTTTAATTATTAAAAAATAGGAAGTAGATCTTTCTTTCTTTTTTTTTTTTTTTTTTTTTGAGAAAAGTTACCTCTATCATTCCATTCATATTTGATATTAAATCAAAATATTTTGATCTAACGTTTACAAATTTTACGTTTACAAGTTAACGTTTACAAAAATAGACAAATAATTGTTATACTGAGATTTTTTTTCGTCAAATCTATACATTCCATTCTTTTCACTTTAAATTTATTTCTTACGTCATAACTCAAACTCAAGAAATATATATATACGTATATGTACATATGTATGAACAAATAGAAATAAAAGTGTATATATCCGCTCTTTTGACGAATCGCGTCATCGTATGAAAGTAAGTCTAAGTAAGAAAAATCGATGTTACGTGATCGGATTGTGAATGGAACTCCAGAATCTCTGAATGGAATTGAATCGTGACCTCCTAAATGATTCATCGATTTCATCATTCTATTACAGTGAAATCTGACATTCCGTGAGAATGTAAATGTATTTTAAAAATAATTAAATCACTGTAAATATTTTTAAACTGACAACTCTCTTGCTTTTAACGAATCGCTAGAAGAAAAGAGAAAGAGAGAGAGAGAGAGAGATCTCACGCGTTAAAAAAAAAAAAAAAAAAAAAAGAAAAAAAAATTCTATTAAGCTTCTAATTTAAATATATGTATATTACATAATCCTCTACAAAATTTTTTTATACATTTCATTTTCATAGTAATAACTTACAACTATCCGCTTGCTGTGAAATCATCTTTTTTTCTCTTTTTTCCTTTTTTTTTTTTTTTTTTTTTCTATTCTCTCTATGCAACAAAATAGAAATCTAAATCTCAAAAACGTGTTCTCCTTTAAAGAAAAAAAATTCTTTCGCACACATTAAAAATAGAAATTATATTACAAAAGTTCGTTATTATAATTTAAAAAAAAAAAACAAAAGAAAAAAAAAAAGAAAAACAAATTAGATTAACATTTCATGTTGATTATGGAGATAATTAAATAGAAATAATTAAGAAATTAGATCCTTTCTTTTTTTTTTTTCTTTTTCTTTGAAAAAATTCATTAGTACGATTAAAGAAATGTGGATCAATATTTCAAAGTAAACATAATTAAAAGTAAAATTAAATGGAAACGATTAGATACCTTTTCGTTCTTTTTTTCTTTTTTTTTTTTTTTTTTTTTTATAATACTTTATGTTAGAAGACTAACCTTGAATGTTTTATATGTCTAAAATCCACAGTGTGTAAAAACCTTTCACTTACTACTATCGATTTCCAAGTTAAACAAAAGTCT